GAATGGGCCATGTTCAATAGCTTTATACTCTCAAAGAGCATAAAAAACTTGTGAAATAAACATTGGCTTCCTTCCAATCCTCCTTGTACCCTATGAGAGTTGCCATTATATTAGCATACGAGAATAAAAATATCGATAGTTGAAAAAGCCATATTGATCGTTCTTGCCATAGTTGTAGTCATCTCAGTCCAAGCCATAAAGGGTATGACATAGTCATCAGTTGATAAAGAGAAGAAGTTGGATTGGTATCCTTTACTGTTTTCCTTGTTGTTGTTGTGACCGACAAACAGTCAATCGTTAATTTGTTTATATTTGTACTCCGAAATAAACTGAAGGTTGTTTAATTTCTCTTTGGCGATGGCGAGTTTGGATGAAAAGTGGAAAGCTGTGGACAACTTTGAGTCTATTGTGGTAGATCGTGAAAGAGATGTTTTTCGAGTGACAGAAGAATTGTATGATCTTCATAAAGGCCGAAAGCAACTCAGGGGTGTAACAAGTAGTTGCAACTATCGCTTGACCATACCATTTGCCCCCCATCTCTTCGGCTCGGGCAAAACGACCTTTGCCCGAACCTATTTGGAGTTGGTGCAAAGGTTTGGTGAAACTTTTCTGTCGACGTTTGCTTCGGACCCTTCGAGCAGAACCTTTTTGGAGAAGCTGAAAAGGGCTTCATTGCTTTATGTGGATTTAAGGGGGTTGAAGCCCACAGAACCGAAAGAACGCAACCTAAAGTGGGCAGTATACTATTTATTGTACCGATCAGCTTGTAATCAGATGGGTCTACCGTTTATGAAGCCTGATGAAGCCTACAGACACATTCCTCTCTATCCAAGCTTTCTAATTCCAGAGCTACGGAAGACTTTGGGCATTACTTCCGATCAATATCTTTTGTTGGCATTTGACGAAGTTGGTGTGTTTGATACAAAGGCAACTTTTTTTGAACTGGAGAAGAATGACAAAGGTGTGGTTCGACCTTACAATGACTTTTTCGGTATCATTAGTCATTTGTGCAAAGAACCCGACTTGTTTTTTATAGTTGTTGGGAAAAGCAAAGGTTTAAGTATTAAGAATGATGTGGCTTTTGGGCTATCGAGAGTTATACTACATTTTATTTCTTTATCACCTTTGGACGCTTCCAGTATCGTTGAATTCCTTGAAAAGAGTCTTCTAAAGACACCTACTCAAGTTCCAGTTTGTAATGTCTTATGTAGTTCTTCATTTTCAGTAAATGAATTGGCAGACTCATTATTGGAATGTACAGGTGGAGTTCCTGGTTTGTTGACTCGTGCAGTAAATATGCTTTTGAATTATATAATAGCAAGAAATCAGCCTTTCATATCGAAAGAAGAATGTTTGACATGTATGAACGACGATAATTTCCGAATAATTTGTGCTGAACCATTTGTGGAACGAATATTGAATTTGGACGAAGATAGAAAAAGTGTTTTTGATATACTTTTGATGATGGCACTTTTTCGTATACCGTCTAAAGTAGATGATAGATTGACCTCGGAGTCCTTTTTATATGATGCAGTCACTGAAATGGGATTATATCGATATCCTATTGACGAGAATACTTTTCAAGTCCTGATTCCAAAAGTATTTGTTGGAATCTTCAAGAGGGACCCTTCCATATCTTCTTTGGAAAACATACTTCTCGAATCACTTGATGTAGAACCAGTAGATTGTTTCTTCTATTCAAAGTGTCGTGTATTTGAAGGAATTGTTGCTTTACGACTAGTTTTGATGTTGTCTTCAAAGAATCGAAATGAGTTGAGGGAATTGTTGTGTCAATTGTCTCCGATATGGAAACAAATGAAACTTCCAATCAGTACAATATCACCTATTCACTATATCAAGTCTGTTGTTAGTTCTAGAGAAACAAGAAGTGAATCGAACAAGAGTCGAAGAACTTTTGCCAGTACTGAATGGAATAAGATTATTCGAGAGACACTTTATTTAGAGACTATTTACATTCCTTTGGACGCTACTTCTCATAGTCCTGATATTATATTCCAATTACAATCTCCTGTGGAACCCAAAGTTCTTACTGTTGGAGTTGCTTGTGAGGGACGTTGGAAGTCGGAAGGAATTGGCTGGTCAGATATTATAGATGAAGCCAAGAAATTTTTAGATCCTGTTTATGATCAAGTCTTATCCAGTGCAATGGATTATCATCATTGTATGCTTATTATCGTTAGTACAAAGTTATCATTGAATGTTTCTAATGAGTTGGGTAATCAGAGTCGTTGTTACTCCAGTGGAATGTTTATTGGAAATGATTCTTTCAAAGTACCTGATAATTGTGAACTTGTTATTCTTTGTGAAAGAGATGTGGAAATGCTGATTGACGAAGAAATATTGAATGGACTTGAAAGAGCATTTGGTGTTTCTCACAATCCTACTTTTTGGGATTTTGGATTAGATTTACTTGATAGAATCCGTAACAGTTTCTTAAGTTGGCAATAGATTCTAACTCAGTCCTTCCCTTTGTTTTGAAGAGCAAGTAAAATTTTTTGTATGTTTGAAACTCGGTTACAACTTATTTGCTTTCACTCCGAGGACTATTGTCTTAATATGGTACTAACCACGAAAATCAAAATAAGCCTATTGTTGTAAAAGTCACTGTCACAGTTTGACAGGTCTTGTTTGCTTCTTGTTACTACTCAGGAGAGTGTCCCAACGTGTTGATAAATGGGTTTTATACAAGGTATTGTATTCGTCAAAGACTTTATATATGGTTCGCCTTAGGTTGAAAGTTCCTCAGCTGGTCTATTTTCTAATAGCTCAGAGAAGTTGTTTTTATATACAATTGCACACAAACCAATATCCACTCTTTATTACAAAAAAAATGAGAAAGATAGTCTTTATCTAAAAGGCAAATCATGTTCTTATCAAGACTTGTTCAAAGCTTCAAAAGACTTTCGTCGCAATCAAGAGTTTGAGCATTGGAAACTATTAAAGAAGATTGATTGACCATTGTTGTATTTTACTGTCGCATAGTTTACTTCATAGCTTACGATATGTCTAGTGAGTTTCAACCAGAAACCGTATATGACATGGTTGTAGTAGACCGAGAACAAGATGTTGGTGTAGTAACAAAGCAGTTATTTCAGCTATACACTCTCCGTAAACTTGGTATCCCTTTCAAACCAGTCATACCCTTTGGTCCCCACCTCTTCGGAAGTGGGAAGACAAAATTCGTAAAAAGTTACTTGGAACTGGTGAATAATATGGGTGAAAGTGCACTGATAGGTCTCGATTACGTTGGTGAGTCTGAGAAGGCCAACCGAAGAGGTTTCCTGGAGAAGCTGAAAAGGGCTTCGTTGCTTTATGTGGATTTAAGGGGGTTGAAGCCCACAGTCCCCATAGAGCTTTTTCGAAACCTAGAGTGGGCAGTCTACTATCGAATGATAGAAGCGTGTTGCACTTCTGTTGGACAAGAACCAGAGGATGAAGAAGTAGTATTTAAAGAATGCCGTACACGTCCCTATAAGTTAGTTAGAAAACTTCGTTCAATCTTAAACATTCCTTCCGATCAATATCTTTTGGTAGCTTTTGATGAAGTTGGTGTGTTTGATACAAAAGCAACTTTTTTTGAACTGGAGAAGAATGACAAAGGCGTGGTTCGACCGTACAATGACTTTTTCGGTATCATTAGTCAATTGTGCGAAGAACCCGACTTGTTTTTTATAGTTGTTGGGAAAAGTGAAGGCTTAAATATATACAATTACGTAGCTTCAGTCTCAAGGGTTCAGTTAGTGTTTATTCCTCTTTCGCCGCTTGAGAAACATAGTATCGTGGAACATTTGGAGAAAAGTTCTTCCTTTTTATTCCCTGGGAGCCCAAAGGTTTCAGAAATTCTTTGTCACAAAGACTTCTCAACTAGTGAACTTGCAGAATTGTTGTTGGAATTGACTGGTGGTGTTCCTGGTTTACTTGTTCGAGCAATCAGTTACCTTTTGCTGTATAAATCATCCAACAACAATTTCTTATTATCTAAGGAAACCTTCTTGATCATAATGAATAGCTTTCTAGTAACAAATTATTGTGTTGCGCCATTCTTACCTCGTCTGATAAGTCTCAGTGAGCAGCGTAAGCGCTTGTTAAGAATGCTTACGTTATTATCTTTGTATCGTATTCGATTTGATTTTGATGAAACTGTGCAAATAAGCTCCAATTCTGATGTGTTTTTGTTTGATCTAGTTACAGATATGTGTCTCTATCGTCGATTGGTTATAGAACCAGACCGCAACGAACGCTGTGAAGTGTTGATTCCCAAGTTACTTATTGAATATATTGACCAAGGCTTAAAGGATGATCGTTTAGAATGGTTACTTTTACAAACTCTCAAGTCTCAATCTGTTGAATTCTTTTATGAGTCGAAATGTCGAATTTTGGAAGGTCTTATTGCTACACTGTTTTATTTACATTTTTCTCGGCGTCCTACAAACAGCTCAATGTTTTCTACTCTTGGTCAATTGTCTCGTGTTTGGAATGAAATGAATTTGCAATTTTCTTCCGAATCTGCTGCTTATTATATGAAATCTATACATTATACCAGGACTGTATCAGGAACAGAGAGAATGACATTTGGAAGCAATGATGAATGGGGAAAGGATAGTGGAAGAAATGTTAGAATTTGAAAAGATATTTATTCCATTTCATTCAACATCCCATAGTCCAGATATATTATTCAAGTTGCATGGAAGAACGAATGAGAAGAATTTGATGATTGTGGGTATTGCTTGTAAAGGCCGATGGAGTCGTGATGGTATTCGATGGAATGAAATTTTGGAAGAAGCTCACAAGTTTTTAAAACCAGTTCATGATCAAGTATTGACTAGTCATCCTACATGGCATTGTATGTTGATTATTTTGAGTACCAAGTTGGCTACAAATGTATCTGAGGACTTGAATTATTCTAGTCGTTGTTATTCATCTGGCGATAGTGTTGAAGATTTCGTGATTCCTCACAACTGTGAATTGGTTATTCTTTCTGAAGCTGATGTAGAAAACTTTATTGGCAAAGACATTTTATCAAATTTAAGGAACGCTTTCAAGTCTGTGGATAATCCACATTCGAGAAATATTGGCATTTCAACCCTACAAGAAATAGTTTTATCTCTTTCCAAAAATATTTAGGAATATCTTGTTTTAATATCTGAGAATTTTTCCAAGGATAGACACTTTCAAAAGTCGTCATAAATCAGGGGCTGTTTTATAAGACACTGTCAAAAACTATATCAAATTTGAGCAAATTTATTCCTCTGACTACAATTGCACGATTTGGATGACATATTCCATTGTTACGTGCTGTATAATGCATAAATGAAACTTATAACAACAAGCTGAGCTCTGATTTTAACGTTCATTTCCATTGAAAACGACGAAATAGATTGGACTTTGCACAATTTCAAAACTTGGCAACTTGTTGCTACATCTATTCATGTTTGTCTTTAATCTTTTTCTACCTGTCGCCAGAAAGACTATGACATTACGTTTTATTTGAAAGGGTCTCTGCAATTCCAAGTTTATTATTTTCACGATACATACATTTCAACTTGTTGTTCTCAAGGTCTCATCATCAAATGAAGGCTGAAGAATATATCTAATTAGGAAAGTTGAGAAAATTACATCCCATCAACCTTCTTCCATGTTATAGTTTAGAAAAAGTATTTTCTCCGTAGTAAAGGACCGAATAACAAAGCACTCGGTAAAGCAAATAAAAAATTTTGGACCAACCAAACATTTGTAATCGTTTTGATATAGCACATGAACTCTTTTGAAAACAATCACATTTCCAAAGTTTCAAAACCTGTATATATACCATGGAAGGACTTTTTAAAACTGAGTTTGCGCTGTTATGAATTCAACTAGAACAACATTTTGAAAGATTAATGATAATGATAATGATAATAATAGTAATAATAATAATAATAATAATAATAATAATGAGTCTTCCTATAAAAATGGAAATACCCCTTAGAAAGCACAGAATAGTTG